CACAAAAGGCCAAAGTGAGCGAGGGGTGGGCTATCATCCAAGGGCACTGGAGAGCCATTGGAGGATTGTATGTAGGGAAGAGGCTTAGTTTACTGTGCCTCAATTGCCCACTTGGGGCGTGGTAGATTCTGCCCTTGTGTTCTTCACGGGCTGATAGGAAACCAAAATGAAAATGGGGGGTTGGTAGAGACTGAGTGGTCAGTGTGGAAAAATTCAGGGTCTGGGGCAGAACCGCATTCCTGCCTTAAGAGCAAGGCCAGAATAGGGGTCTGCTGCAAAGTGTATATATTGAGTCGTGGGAGTGGGTAGGGTGGGGACCCCACCAACCCTGTCTGGAAATCTCAATCCCTGAGGGCTTCCCGTATGCCCAGCCCTGTGCTGGGGACCTAGCGGTGACCAAGACTGCCCCAGCCCTGCCGTCATCAGGCTCAGTCCAGTGGAGAAGGCAGCTGCATCCTCAGTGATGATCCTGGGTCGGGGGGTGGGGTGGGCAGAGGCTGGGGAGGGCCAAGGGGGTGCCTGTCGTAGCCAGGGAGGGCTTCCTGGAGGAGGAGCAGCTCAGCAGCAACTGGGAGAATGATGAGCAGCTAGCTAGACATGGCGGGTAGGGGGCTGGTGTTCTAGGTGGAGGGAACGGCTTGTACAGTGGCTAAGAGGCAGGAGAGAGCACAGCAACTGGCCTATGGCTGGCAGTGAGCAGAGTCACTGGGAGACACGAGGCTGGAGATGTTGGCAGGGCCCTGAAGGCCGTGGTGAGGGGCTTGGGCTTTCTTCCAAGGGCACTGGGGAGCCACGGCAAGGTTGTGAGCAAGGGAGAGGCAGGGGCAGGTTTATGCTGTGAAGGGAGCGAAGAAGACAGGTCGGGAGATTAGGGAGAAGGTCGAAGTGGGACAGAAGGTGGGGAGACAAGGGCCAGATTTGAGGCTTATGAGGCAAGATGGGCAGAACGGGCACCTGGACCGCAGATTTGGCTCAGACGGGGCCGCTGGAATGTTTGTGGTCTGTGTGGCTCCCCGGCATGGGGGGGGGGGGGGGGGGGGCTAGAGGACGGAGCTGGGGTTAGTGATGGGATCTTCATTTGGGGACAGTGTTGTAAAGGACACCCTGACATCTGACAGGTCCTGCCTTTCTCTTCTAACCTTCCTGTTTCAGCAATTTCCCTGGGAATTCTTGGAGACCTCCTCTGGCCTCAGTTTTCCCCTGGAAAACAGAGTACGTTTCTTGATCTCTAAGGGCCCTTTACCTGTGTGACTTCAGGTTTGAGAAATTCCCTCCTCCAGGTCCCTGAGGACTCGGTCTACCCTTACTCTGCCTCACGGTTCCTTCTGAAAAGCTTTGCCTCTTTTTTGAGGCCGCCGCTCTGCCTTTGCCAGTGGAGACCTCAGCCTATTGGGTCGAGCAGAGGTGATTGACGTGGTCAACACCCAATACACGCTGACCTGCTTCTTGCCGTCTATTCCCCGCCCCTCCCCCTGTGCCCGACCCGCCTTCCTGGGACCAAGCTCTCCAAAAGGTGGGTCCCTGAAGGCTTCGCGGGGCTGCTATGAGCCAAGCCCCAGTCTGGAGGAGGAAGGCGCATGGGCAAATGCATTAAGGTGGGAATTGCAGGGTGTCAGGAGCAAAAGTGTACAGACGAATCATGGGCGAAAAACGGGAGTGATGAGCCTTCAGGGAAAGGTGCGCACCTCAGTTTGAAGAATCGAAAATAATAGGTCTGCATTCTAGGAGTGGGGAGCTATGGCAGGTTCTTGAGCAAAGAAAGGGAAGTTTAAAGGACTGGCAGCAGCTATGGATGGATGAGGGGAGGTCACACAGAAAGAGGCCGGTGAAAAGTATAACGGGGTATATGTGAGGAGATGCATGTTAGGTCTCAAACCCGAGGCCCGTGGGCCAAATTCGAGTCTCAGACATTTTGTTTGGCTTACGCTTCTCCCTGGTCAGCCTGGTGCTCTCCCTGGTGCTCTGAGATCCGAACACGAGTGGTTGATTGGGAGCGGAGGCTGGGGAGGGGGCACGCCTCTCTGGGTCTCAGATTCCTCATAGTTTTGGATTGGACTGTGCACTGGCCTCATTTTAGGGATGGGGTAAGACATGACTAGGGAGGGCAAGCCGCACAGCGGCCAATGGCAAAAGTCCCTCGTCCTCTTGCTCAATTGCCATCGCACGAGAGCTAAGGCCACCATTGCTTTTATTTGTTGCTCTGAGTGTAGAAAAAGCATGAGCTCCAGATGTGCCTGACAGCTCTCCATTAGCCAGAGTTCCTGGTGGTGGGCGGAGCTCTGGGAAAAGGAGACTGTGGGGGAGGTTTTTCACTGGCCACAACTCAGAGGATGAAGCCCGTTGGTTGGAACTCTGGCTGGAAATGGAATTCCGAAAATGGTGGAAAGAGCCCCCGGTTGACCGAACCCTTTGGGGGGGGGGGGAGGGGCGGGGCTCCGATGGGCCGAGTCCTCCCTTTGGCTGGGGCTCCAGCAGTCGGCGGCGGGCGGGCTGGACGCCTATTTCTGGGCGGGGATCATGTCGTCGATGGACTGGCCCTTTTCCAGTTTCTTCTCCATCTCCACCATGAGCTTCACACCATCCACCACCAGCTGCACCTGTTCCACTTCGGACGAGCCCAGCCGATCGGCGTTGGACACGTCGAATACTGAGCCCACAGCAGCTGTGTCCACACCACCTGCAGGAGCAGGAGGCAGGGGCATAAGGAGCGAGCAGAGATGCAGGAGCGGGGCCTGCTGCCCCTGTGCCAACTGAGCTGGCCGCACGTACTGAGGGCCTACTGTGTAACAGGTCACGTGCATGCAGAGCCTCCTAAATGTCTATTCACGGGCTCACGCCTCCGGCTAATTTAGGTACCTCGTGCCTCAACCCTCCAACATGAAAATAGAGCATGATGGCCAAACGTGAGCTCTGGAGCGAGAATGCCCCGGGGTTGAGTCCTGGCCATCCTCTCCTTTATAGATGGTAAACCGAGGTTCCTAGGGGGCACGGGGTATACACATGCGTAATATATACCCATGATATCATATCGATTCCTACGGGATAAGGCGTGCGGATGCCCATGTACAAGAGGAGGAAACTGAGGCTCACAGAGGGGCAGCCCTCGTCCACCCCACAACTCGCGTGGGTGCTCCGCCTCCACAAAGGGTCCGCCCCCGACGCCGCGGCGCGCGGATGGAAGCAGAGCCGCACCTGTGCCCCGCTTCTGCAGGCGCAGACGGGTGAGGATCTCCTCGAACTTGGGGTGCTTGCTCAGGTGCGCCAGCTTGACATGCACGCCTCCACGCAGCCCGGTGCCCAGGTTGGATGGGCAGGTGAGCACGTAGCCCAAGTGCTCGTTCCACATGAAGGGGTGGCCGGCCTTCTTGAAGATCTCCTCAATCTGAGGTAAGGGGAGAGGATCTGGGGTCAGCGCCAGGGGGCGCCCCCCAAATACACCCGCAACTCGAACGGGGCTGGGAGGGACACAGCGTGAGCACGTGGGTAGGGGGTGGGATTCCGAGAGGGTGGGACCGGAAAACCGTGAGGGGTGAGCTTCTGAAGGGAGGGGCCCGAAGACCCTGGTGGAGCTAGGGCTTGAGAACGCTTTAGAGCCGAGTTCTTAGGGGCGGGGCTTGGGCAGGATAAGGGTGGGTGGAGCCAGGTGCTTGTGGGCGGGGCTTAGGCATAGGGTGGAGCCGGCCTCTTGGGGGCGGGGCTTAAGCCTACGGGGGACCCGGTCTCTTGGGGGCGGCTTGGGCGCTGGGTGGAGTCGGGTTATTAGGGGCGGGGCTTGGGCGCTGGTGGAGCCGTCTCCTTGGGGCGGGGCTTAGGCGTAGGGTGGACCCGGTCTCTTAGGGGCGGGGCTTGGGCGCTGGCGGAGCCGTCTCCTAGGGGCAGGGCTTAGGCATAGGGTGGAGTCTGTCTCTTGGGGGCGGGGCTTGGGCGAGGGCGGAGCCGTCTCCTAGGGGCAGGGCTTAGGCATAGGGTGGAGTCGGTCTCTTAGGGGCGGGGCTTGGGCACTGGGTGGAGCCGGTCTCTTATGGGCGGGGGTTAGGCATCGGTTGGACCCGGTCTCTTGGGGGGCGGCTAGGGCGCTGGGTGGGGTCGGGTTATTAGGGGCGGGGCTCGGGCGCTGGGTGGAGCCGGGTTCCCCGGGGGGGCGGGGTCTTGGAAAGCGGGTGGGGCGTTCAGCGGGGGTCAGAAGTCTGCGGTGAGAGGCAGGCTACCCACCTTCTGCAGCCCCACGCAGAAGCGGCGGAAAACCTCCTTCATGTTGCCCCCCTTCTCCATGGAGATGACTCGGAGGTGGTCTTCCTCGTTCACCCACACCAGGAAGCTCTTGTTGTCATTGTGCCTAGGGTGGGGCGCAGGAGGAGGCCAAGGGATCAGTCCCGCGTGGCCACCCCATTCCCGCCCCCTGGCAAAAGTACCCACCGCAAGGGGGCAGCGGGCCTGAGGAGTTTGAGGTGGTGGCACCGGCTCCTGAAAATCGCGGAAGCTTACACCTGTAGACCCTAACGTCCTAGAATCTGAGAAATCGCCAGTCCTAGGATCAAAGACTTTGAGGGTCTTAAGTCTTTGAACGGCGTTAAATTACAGACTCTTAGAATTTCAGAATCTTTGAAAAACAAAAGCTGGGAATCAGAATTGACAAATCTTGGAAATCCTACTTCTGGTCCCAGGACCAATCTTCCCATCACCCTGTGACATCTCAGATAAAACATTAAGATCTGGAAATGTCTGCAACCGTGGAATCACAGAATCTGAAATTAGTGGAATCTTAGAACCTAAAAATATTTAAAATGTGTATGTCTTAGAACGCACACATTCTCCTGATCATCTGAAACCTAGGCTTTTGAAACCTTTGAAAATCTTTGCCTAATCAGAATCAGGGATTCAAGGATTCATACAAACCTAACTAGCAACAGTCGAAGATAAAACTAATAGCCAAGATGTTGGTCACTTACTATATACCAGACACTGGTGTAGAGAGAGAGAGAGAGAAGGAGAGGAAGAGCAGGGGAGAGGAGCAGAGGGAGAGAGAGAATCTTAAGCAGGCTCCACGCTCAGTGTGGAGCCCAGTGTGGGGCTCGGTCGGCACAGAAATGTTAAATAATGTGCCTGAGGTCACATCTAGTAAATGGCAGTGCTGGGATTGGAACCCAGGGAGTCTGGTGCAAGTCTAAGTCCCTAATTGCCACTTCCCTGGTCCAAGTTTCCTAAAATGTGACTCACAGACCACAAAGTAGGCAGGGGTGGAAGGCGAGGTCATTGTCTGGGGCGCCTGGAAACATAATTGTTTTTATGGTGTTGGCTTTGGTGGAGGAATGGGGAGGGGAGTGGGGGACTGGAGGAGGCTGGGGGGAGGGGACCTCACCAGATGCCGCGGGCGTCGGGCCAGTCTCGGGCCATGCCTGAGGCCAGCAGCAGTGGGGACACGGGCTTGTCGAACAGGAAGTGATCGTCAATAAGCTGCTGCTGCTCCTGCTCGGTCATGCTCTTCAGAGGGTAGTACTTCCCCTTGAACTCGCCTGTCAGGCTGTTGAGGGCTGAGGGGCCACATGAGGGAATGGTCAGCAGCCTGCACCCCCACAACCTGGACGGGGAGGCCCCCGGAGTCCCCACACTGCTGCTCCCAACGAGCCTGGGGTGGGGCCCATGGATGTCCTAACGGCGCCTGAACACTAGGACGAAACCCAAATTCGCGACCTGTCCCCGAAGCATGCTCCCCCCCCTGCCTGCCCAGGCTCCGGGAACAGCCATGCCATATGCTCCGCCCAGAAACAGGGAATCTCCCTTTCCTTGACCCTGGCATCCCATCCGCCTGGGAGCAACGGTGTGCTGGGGCCCCTTCAACCGGCCAGCCAGACAGATGATCAAAATCTTAGGAATGTGGGGAACCATCAGTAAAAATTATTAAAATATGCCATACATCATATTTGTGTACATTCATATGTAGAATGAATGTATATTATGCACATATGCATAATATATATTTCTATAATATGTATGTATTTATATACATTTTATACATTTCTATGTAATGTTCTATATCACATACTATATACTTACTATATTATATTGTTAAAAATAACTTATATAGGGGCACCTGGGTGGCTCAGTCAGTTAAGTGGCCAATTCTCGGTTTCAGCCCAGGTCATGACCTCACGGATCGTGGGTTTGAGCCCTGCATCAGGCTTCGTGCTGAAGGGCCTGATTGGGATTCTCTCTCTCCCTCTCTCTCTGCCCCTCCGCCACTCACGCTGTCTCTCTCTCTCTCTCTCTCTCTCTCTCTCTCTCTCTCTCTCAAAATAAATAAATAAGCTTTAAAAAATAATAATCATTTATATAAACTTACAATTAAATATATTATATTTAATTTTTTTAATGTTTGTTTACTTTTGAGAGAGAGAGACAGAGCCCAAGTGGAGGAGGGGCACATAGAATCCGAAGCAGGCTCCAGGCTCTGAGTTGTCAGCATAGAGCCCGACGTGGGGCTCGAACTCCTGGACTGTGGGATCATGACCTGAGCCCACGTCGGATGCTCAACCAATTGAGCCCCCAGGCGCCCCTTAAATATATTTAAAACATAGGTAATAAATACTCAAAAGTATTGCTTCCTAAATATTTTACTCTTTTTTTTAAATTTTAGAGAGAGGGGGCACGAGCAGGGGCGGGGTCAAAGAGAGAGAGAGAGAGAGAGAGAGAGAGAGAGAGAGAGAGAGAAAATCTCAAGCAGACTCCATGCTCAGTGTGGAGCCTGACACAGGGCTCGATCCCACGACCTGGGAACCATGACCTGAGCTGAAACCAAGAGTCTGACGCTCAACCGACTGAGCCACTCAGGCGCCGCCTACATTCTTGAAGTTATTTTCATTTTTATTATCTACATCCTTGAAGTTATTTTCATCTGTATCTGTAAGGTGGGAATATTAGGTAAGGATATGTTACCGCCCATCTTTTCCCGTCTATCTATGACACCATGTTCATAGCTCAAAATTGGCCGTGGTAGGAGAATTTATACCATAGAAATTGGCAGTCGCTATAGATTGGGGCTTTTTCTTTTTTCTTTTTTTTGAGAGCTAGTTTTTTAACACTTACCAGAACAATATGCCTGCCCACCTTGATGATTCTACCTCCCAAACATCCCTGCTGTCTCTCCCCATCCCGTTGCCTATCTCCCACCCTCACCTGAACGACTGTGCCTTCCCCTCACGGTCTCTCTGCTCCTACCTTTGCCCACAGTCTGTTCCCCACCCAACAGTCAGAGGACTCCATGGCTTCCATTTCCCTCAGAGTCAAAGCCAAAGCCCTCCCGAGGGCACACAAAGCTCTGTGCAACCTGGCCACTCATACTCCTCAGACCCCATTTCCTCCCCCCCTCCACTCAGCTCTAGCCACACTGGTCTCCTGGCTGTTCCTCCCACACACTTGCCCACCTCAGGGCCTTTGCACTTGCTGCTCTGCTGGCCTGGAATTCTTCAGCCTCCTTCCTTGTCAATCAGGTCTCCTCCTTCCTAAGGGAGCTCCCCTGAGTCATTCTGTGACCCACCCTCGTTTCTTGGCTACATGGTATTTGGGAATTATTCTTTTGTTGGTTTCTGTGTTCCCTCTTATCTCCTCACCAGGCTGACAGATCTGTGAGAGCAGCGACCTCATCCATCCTATTCATCATGAAAGCCCCCAGCTCCCTACTCAGGACCATAACAGCTATAAATGTTTGCTGGTTGGATAGATGGATGGATGATGGATGGATGATGGATGATGGATGATGGATGGATGATGGATGGATGATGGATGATGGGTGGATGATGGATGGATGATGGATGGATGATGGATGATGGATGGATGATGGATGGATGGATGGATGGATGGATGATGGATGGATGGATGGATGGATGATGGATGATGGATGGATGGATGGATGATGGATGGGTAGATGGGTGGATGGATGGATGGAAGTCAGGTCCCTGGTATCTACAGGCAGAGATCTGCTCAGGGTGCCCTGACAGCACCCCCAGACTTCCACCAGGGGTAGTGCTGCCAGCCATCACTCACCAAGCAGCTATGATTTACCAAGCTCTTTCCATGGAGAAGCAGGGCCAGAGCTGGGTGGCCCCAATGGTGGGCAGGGTGGGGGTTCTCACCTTCAACGGAGAGCTTCTCCACCGCCCGGCGCTCGCCCCGGGAGCAGTGGGGGGGCAGCGTGTAGCCCTTGATGCTGCGGCCCGTGCGGACGCGGCTGCTGAGCACGTAGTGGGGATCCAGATCGTCTCCGCCCTGGAGGGCAGGAGTGGGGGGTCAGGGTTGGGCATGCCGCCCAGGCTGCCCCTTCCGCAGCAAGCCTGTGACCCCCCGGATGCTCCCAGTTCTTACTCTCTGCTACTTTTTTCAGCTCCTCCTTGCCCCGCTCGCTGGGTTCTCCCTTCTCTGTCCGTCCCTCCGTCTGTCTCTCTCCCCGCCCCTCATGTGTCCCTGTTTTTCTCTCCAAGCATCTCTTTCCCCACTTCCTGTGTCTCTTCATCTCCCTCCCTGGCTCCCCTCCCATCTGACCCCAGCCTCCTGGTCTGTCTTCTGTGCCTCTCTGCCCCTCTGTCCCTCTGTCTGCCTCCCTCCCTCCCCCATCCCTCCCCTCTGGTGGCGGGTGGGAGGGGGTGGCTGACCTTGAGGTTCTCATGGTTGAGATCGGTCTTGTGCTTGTCGGTGGGTTTGTAGCCCCCGTGCCGGTCCTGGATGATGGGGTCGAAGAGATCCTTGAAAACCTGGTAGGACTCCTCGTCGCCAGCCACACAGCCCACGGTCATGATGAAGGGGTGACCTGGGGGTTCAGGGTGAGGTCAGAGCTGCCTGTCCCCAGCAAGGAAGGCCCGGGCTCCTGGGTCCAGCATAGACTGTGTGTGTGTGTGTGTGTGTGTGTGTGTGTGTGTGTGTGTGTGCCTGTGAGTGTGTGTGTTTCAGAACTGCAGAGGCTGAGGGTTATGTGGATGGGGAGGGAAGGTTAGGAGAGGTCTAGGCAGCATCTGGGGTGAGGGCAAGGTGCTGGGGGCAGGGCAACGGAGAAAGGAGAGTCTTGGGGGGCCAGTTACAAGGTACTAAAAATATGACCACTTCAGAGTCCCCAAATCACATACTCTTCCTTTACCTAAACATTTTCAAAAGCTTATTAGACGATTGGCTCCCACAGATGATAAGAGACTTGAACAGCCCTCGTGTTCCCAGAGGGGAAAACAGGGGTCTGGAAAGAGGGGCCCTCCCTCCTCAATGGCACAGTGAGTTGGAGGCTAGGACGTGCTTTTTTGCCTCTGGTGCTGCTGACCCTCGCAGGGTGTCCTTGGAGAAAGAACCACAGCACCAATGACATCCCCCCTCAGACCCCGAGTGCTGGCCCCGTACCAGGGGCTGCTCTAAGCACTTGTGTGCGCCGACTCCTATGTTTTCGCAACACGAGTGCCCATTTTTCGGATGAGGACACTGAGGCCCAGGGAGGTGGGATCGAGGCCTGGCAGGCAGCTCCAGAGCCCCCCTCCCCTACCCCCGTCATTCTGATCCCTGTCCCCACTCCACCAAGGAGGCTTACCTGGGTTGTCCACACCTGTCTGGATGACGTCGTCCAGAGTGAACCCGGATGGAGTCTCCTTGTCCCGCAGCTTCTTGTAAATCTCAAGGGTCAGCGCCTTGGCCATGTGGTTGTTGTGCTTGCTGAGGTCAGGGTACTCCTCCTCAGGCTTGTAGTTCAGCTTGAACTTGTTGTGGGTGTTACCGAACGGCATGGTGGCGGCGTGGGGGGCCTGGTGGGCAGGGAAGGTGGGGAAGGTTAGCTCGCGTCCAGCAGAGAACAGCAAGGGAACAGAGCAAGGTCTGGGGGTTGACGGCTGTGTGACTGGGGACAAGAAGGGCGCCCTCTCTGAGCCCCTGCACCTTCACAGGATGCATCCGAACTCTATGGCTAAGATCCCAGCTCGGTCACACCCTGACAGGTGGCCCCAGACTAATAATCTTGCTAGAGACAGTTTCTCCAGCTGGAAAATGAAGTGGGGAGCCTTTGGGATGGAGTAGTAATGCTGGCATGGATAAAACCGTAGTTTCCAGAATCAGACAGCCCGGGTTTAAATTCCAGGTCTGCCACTTACAAGACGCTGTGTGACCTTGGGCACCTTGCTTAACTTCTCTGTGCTTTCAGATTACTCATGTGTAGAATGGGGGGTCATAATAGCACTCATCCCATGGGGCTATTGGGAGCAGGAAAGGAGCCAAACTACGTAAAGCACTTGGAATAGTCCTGGCTCACAATAAGCATTATTTTGCTTGGCCATTATTATAATTATTGCTGTCATTTTTAAAAAAATTTTTTATGTTTATTTTTGAGAGGGAGAGACAGAGCACAAGCGGGGAAGGGGCAGAGAGAGAGAGAGAGAGAGAGAGATACAGAATCCGAAGCAGGCTCCAGGCTCTGAGCTGTCAGCACAGAGCCCGACGCGGGGCTCGAACTCACAGACCGTGAGATCATGCCCTGAGCCGAAGCCGGCCGCTTAACCGACTGAGCCCCCCGGGCGCCCCTGTTGTTATTATTTTAAAGGTCTGCGTGAGGAGTTTCAGAGAAGGTGGAGGGTGTTGTGGAGAACGAGCGTGCGAGCAGAGAAGGGACATCCTGTCTACGGAGGTTCCTGGGTTCAAGGGATGAGGGGCAGGGTGGAAGGGAAGGCTGGGTGGCCATCTCCACCCCTGTCTGCTGGCAACCCTGCCCTCAGGGCTCAGATGAGAAGAGCTCAGCTGCGGGAGTCATCAGAGCTGGGTTCAAATGCCACCTGTGCCACTTCCCTGCTGTGTGACCCCCAAGCCGGTTGCTCAGCCTCTCTGAGCCTCTGTCTCCTGTGGACTAAGCCCTGCCTAGGGGGTGGCCAAGAGGACTCTTCAGACTCCATCATGAGGCCAGCTGATCACATGCCCTCCCGTGGAGCTGCGGCCTGCTACCTGGAGGGCGGGCTGCTGTTGTTACTGTCACGTTTATCCGTAAGAGCCAGGAAGGAGGAGGGACTCTTCAGTGGCCGTGGCGGGACTGGGAGCTCGCTCCCGGCTCCAGGAGTGGGAGGCAGGTAGGACGGTGGGAAGGGAATCAGGACCAGGGGGGAGCCGAAGGCTGCGGCATCAGGCCAGGGGTGGGTGGAATTCACAGACGGAGCTGCCGTCCAGGGTTGGGGATTATTTATAGAGTCTGGCAGACTCCTCCTCCTCCTCCGCCCCCCAGCTGCTGTCACCCCACCCCCACCCCACACATTCCAGGGGCTCGGCTTGCGCCAAGTCAGCAGGCCGGAGACAGGTGGGCCAAGGAGGCCGGGAGGACACGCGTCCAGGCCTCGGGCCTCAAGGGCTTCCAGCCCAGAAACCCCCCTTCATGCTCTCCCACCCCCACCCTGCAAGAGACATGTCAGCAGAGGGCACGGAGGCAAGGCGGGGGAGGCCCAGAGACACAGACAGAAATAGCCCCAGCACCACACACACCGGGAACAGAATCACACACACACACACACACACGCGCGCGCACACACACGCGCGCGCGCGCGCGCGCGCACACACACACACACACACACCCCTCCAAGCTCAGGGACACACCCGGGGTTCAGGCACCCGTGCGGGAGCCACAGAAAGTCCAGAACACAAGGTCACACTGTTGTGGGACACCACAGGGACCCACAGAATCACAAATGCCAAGACCCCGTGGAGCCTGCTCTTGCAGACCCTGTCGATGGACATACAGACACTCCCCGAGGCTCGTGCCATCACCACCACCCCCCCCCCACCCCGCCGTTCTGGTGACAAACCATCACAATCACAGGCCCCGGCCTGCAGTCCTGCAGCCCCTCAGCCCCTTGCAGGGGTGACAGCTGGCAGCCGGCAGGACTCCCTTTGTCTCCAAGATCCCTCCCCATGGCCCTGCAACACGGACCCTGCGGGCGGTGGGGGGGGTCACAGGTGGAGGTGACTTCCAGATGCAGGGCCAATCTCCCCACACACCAACCCTCCTGTGTGTAGGACCAGATCGGCTGCTGGCACCGGGGGGGGGGGGTCCCCATTCTGGACCCCACCCTGATTCCCACCCCCAGCGGTACCTGGCTGGGCTGCGCTGAAAGGGGCTGTCTGTATCCTGGAGGCGACACTGACCCAAAGGAAGGGGCTGTAGCCCTGGCCTTATATAGGGGGGCTGGGCTGTGCAGCTGGGAGGGGCTGCCCCCCGGGGAAGGGAGCTGGAGGGTGGCTGAGCTTCTCACCTCGCTGCCCGGGCACCGTGCCCACCCTGAACCCAGGCATGCCTTGTGCCCAGCCCCATGGCCTTGTATGGGCTGCCCCAGAGGCTGAGCGTCACATCAAGCTGATTCCCTGACCAAGTGCTGAGTCGGGCTGGCAGGGACAGCTGGCCCTCCGCCCAGGACACGGGACCGTGGCAGGGGACGTCCCAGGCACGTAGAAGCCACCCTCCCCTGGCCCTGCACTGGGCCGCCAGCCCTTCCTATGCCCAGACCTCTCCTCCAGCCCCCAGTGGCCTTGACCTGGGTAAACAGCGGGTCCTGAGCCCTGCACCTGGGGAAGCCTTGCAATAGCCCCCCGGGAGGCCCGGTTTCTGGTTTTGTGGAGACTTGCCCGTTGTCACCCAGCTATGGGGAGCACTTGGCCAAAGCCCAGGCCTGAACGCAGGGCAGTGTAAGCCCAGAAGCCTGTGCTTGGGTGCACAGTGAGTAGGAGGGAAACTGAGGCTCTCCTGAGTCGAGAGGATTGGAACTCGAGGCCAGGTTGGGGGAAGGGGTTGCCCCCCCCCCCAGCCGCGGGGCTGACACTGGGAGATTTCCGCTGGGCTGGTGGGGAGGGGACAGGGAGGGACTCATCCTGGAAGGGAGCTTATTTTTAGAGGGCGCTTCGCTGTCGCCTCTGCAAAGACCTAGACCCCAGGCGCTGGGGCTGGGGGGACACAGGGACAGGTGTTGGGGGGGTGGGGCCACGTGTCTGAGTTAATTATAACCCGGCGTGTCAGGTGTCCGGGGTGTCACCTCCTTACAAGGGCAGCCGCTGACCGGGGAGGCCGTCCCCGCCGCAGGGGAAGGGGGCTGGGCAGCCACTTGGGTCAGAGCAGAGCACCCACCCGCTCCTTTCCGCCAGATCTGGGCGGAGCAGGGACACTCCACCGTGACAGGGACCTGAAGGGCTGAGGAGCACATTCTGCGGACGCAGGGGTGGCTGGAGGAAGCTGCTTCCTCTGCCTGGAGGGCGCCAAGATTGCTGGGCAGGCGAGGCGAGTCCAGGGGCCAGGAGGAGTCCAGGGATCACCCAGGATTACAACCAAGAAGAGACCGTCCTTCTTCCCTCTGGGGTTCCTCCCTCCTCCCAGGTGTCCCCCATTTCTTCCCAGGCAGGTGGGGACTGACCTAGGGCAAGGGGGGCCTCTCTGCCTTTCCCCAGATTCCTGGTGGGGAGGGGGTGCTTAGAAAACTTTTCCTTGGGGCCCAGCCCCTGGTCTCTCCACCCACTGTCCCTTCCCACCAAGGTCAGAGTGGCAAAGCTCTCCTGCATGGCTAGGGAAACTGAGGCCCAGAGAACCAAAAGGAACTACACGGCAATAGTGAGGCATTCATCATGCCAACACTATTTTTAAAGTCTATTTATTTATTTTGAGAGAGGGCGGGAGAGAGACAGAGAGCACGCAAGAGCAGGGGAGGCAGAGAGAGGAAGAGAGAGAATCCGAAGCAGGCTCTGCCCCGGCAGCACAGAGCCGGGCCCTGGGGCTCGAACCCACAAACCGTGAGAACGTGACCTGAGCCGAAACCAAGAGTCGGACGCTTAATCCACTGAGCCACGCAGGCGCCCCTCAACACTTCTTTATTAAGCACTTACTGGGGAGACAGCAGAAAACGACCAAAACCACTGCCCTCGTGGAGGTGACATTTTAGTGAGCGTGAAAAGTAAACATATGCTGTAATGTCAGGGGCCACAGGGCTCTGACAGAAAATCAAAGAGGGTAAGAGGTGAGAGCAATGGCACAGCAGAGGAGGTCAGGTCAGGCATGTCAGGGGAAGTGACATCTGAGCAGCGACCTGAGGGGGAGAAGGGAGCCAGCCATGTGAGGATCTGGAAGCGAAACAGCAGGTGCAAAGGCCCTGAGGTGGGAGTGGCTTGGAGTATCTGAGAGACAAGGAAGAGGCTGGGGGGCTGCAGCAGAGGGGAGAGTGGGAGGAAGAAGATGAGGGGATAGGAGCAGACCCATGGGACCCTAGGGACCATGGAGGAGTTTCCAGCACGCTGTGAGTGGATGGGAGCCCCTGAGGGCTGTGAACAAGGGAGAGACAGGATCTGGACACATCACACACACATGCACGCGCGCGCGCACACACACACACACACACACACACACACACAGGATTCAGCCCAGCCCAGCCCAGCCCCCTGGAGCCCTAATAACCACTTATGGGGACATTTGACATTCCTTTTGGCCATACAGCATAAGAAGCACTTTCTGTGTTTGGGGAGGTTGCCGCCCTATGACAGCCTCCTTTAGAGAAGCCAAAAATGGCAGAAACTCGGTTTCCCAGAATCCTTTGCAGCACTATTCCAGTCGTGTGACCTGGGCTGGGTGGCTCAAACACAGGGACCTTGGGTCATGAGCTCTACTCCTTTACCTTCTTTGAGTCTCATAGAAACGGTCGGCCCTGGGGAACCAAGACCCCCCCACCCCCCGGTATATTCATCCCAGGCTCCAACCTCCCAAAACCCGTCAGTCTCCCAGGCCTCCTCCTACCCTAGCTCAAGACCTCCTTCATGTTCTTCCTTTCTGGCCTCACCTCCTCCCTGATCTCCTGCCCCAAGCTGCCCCCTCCCACCTACTCTCTACCTGCAGCTTGCTCTTGCATAGAACTTGCCTTGGCTCCCCAGTGCCCTCAGGCTACATGAGTATTTGTTGACTCCGGAAATAACAGTAGCCTTATCGGTCCGTTGGAAACCACTCTACCCAGCTTATGCAGAAAAGGGCCTGACTACCAAATATTAGGGGCTTACAAAAATCATTGAAAGGGTTGAAGGAACATCTCTTGCCCCCCCCCCCCCGAACCACGCTCCCTTCAGAACGCCGGACACGCTAGAAAGAGGTTAGCATGGATGTTGAGTGGCCACTCCACAGTCCCCACCCTAACCGTTAAGTCTTAGGGAGCACTCCTGTATGTCAAGTGTAACGCTGAGTGCATTATATATATTAACTCACTTAACACTCCCAACAGTAAAGCTCAGAAAGGTGAAATGACTTGCCCAGGGTCGCGCAGCCTGAGAAGGGGCGGAGCGGGGAATCAAACAGGCACAAAGCTGCCGAGAGACCCTTCGGGCCCTGGTAATTTGGACCTCCTTCCCATGCCCCCTTCATCACCCCGGCTGTCTGGCTTCAGGGCCCAAGCATTGTATGTGTTTTAACTAATTTAATTCCCTGACCGTCCTAAGAGGTGTGTATTGCAAATTTTACAAATCAGAAAAGTGAAGCCCAGAGAGGTCGAGTTACTTGCCCAAAGTAACACAGCTGGGAAATAACAGAACCAAACTGGCCCAGGTAGTTAGTCCCTGAGTTTGTATTTCTTATCCCTCCCCAATCCCACCTCTTCATGCCGAGGCTGCATTTTACAGAAGATGGACACTGAGGCTGCAAAAAGGGCCAGGAGGGGGTGCCTGGGTGGCTCAGTCCGTTGAGCCTCTGACTCTTGATTTCAGCTCAGGTCATGATTCCAGGGTCATGGGATCGAGTCCCACATTGGGCTCCATGCTGAGTGTGAAGCTTGCTTGAGATTCTCTCTCTTTTCCCTCTGTCCCTCTCCCCAACTCGTTCCCTCTGTCTCTAAAATAATTTTAAAGGGTGGGGGGGCAAGGATTGACCCAAGGCAACAGCCAGCATACTAGAATTTCAGGATTCTAAAATTTTAGAATTTTCATTTCACCCCTAAGCCCTGGCATTACAGAACATCCCTGCTCCCAAGCCCTCCCTTTTATCTACCACCTCCTCTGTCCCCACCCCTCCCCTAGGGATGAGGCTGCCACCTCCAGGAGAGGCTCCAAGAAGCAGCACTTCACCCCCATGAGCCATCACCCCAGAATGCTCTCCTCACCCAACTCCAAAATGCCTCTCCCAATCCTGGCAGTCCATGAACCCAACGGTACAGGAAAGACAAGACATAAATCCAAGCCAGTCCCAGAACTGAAGAACCAGAGAGTTAAGGACATGTCTGCTCCTTCTTGTTCCCCAAGAATCCCTGCGATCCACTGGATGTCAGGCCCCCCGGTGGTGGAGGTGGTGGCAGAAAGACAGGCAAACAAGATAGTCTTTCATGACTCCCCACCAGCCCTACTCCAGTCCCTCCAAATCCATCTTTATCAACAAGGCTATACATTTTCCTCTAGGGGTTGCTTTAGCTGCATCTTAGTTTCTTGCTGTTGTTTTTTGGTTGTTTTTACATTCTATTTCGAATGTGTTCTTTACTTTGAAAATGTTATATGTGGAGTGTATGGACAGTCACATTTATTAATATTTTAGTCTCTTAAATTTACCTCTGTGTTAAGGTATAATTTATATACCGCAAAGCGCCCTAATCTTAAGATCGATGAACTTTTATGTATATGTATATCTGAGTCACCAGCACCAAGATAAAGCCCTCCAAAAAGCTCTCCCATTCCCCCTCCCCATCAGAGTCCCCTCTTTTCTCCAACGGAACCACTATCCTGGCTTTTAAAACCCTAGTTTAGCTTTGCCTGTTAATTGAACTTCATGTAATATAAGCATATATTCTTTTATTGAGTTTCTTTTGCTCAACATTCTGTCTGTTGAGTTTCATTCATATTGTCACATGCAGCAATAGATTGTCCTTTTTTAAATGTATGTTGAGACAAACAGAGAGAGAGAGCACAAGCAGAGGAGAGGCAGAGAGAGAGGGGGACGGAGGATCCAAAGTGGGCTCTGTGATGACAGCAGAGAGCCCGATGAGGGGCTTGAAGTCAAGACCAGTGAGATCATGACTGAGCCAAAGTCAAAGCTTAACCGGCTGAGCCACCCAGGTGCCCTTGGCAATAGATTGTCCTTTAGCAAGTTTTGTTATAGAATAGTTTGATTATTGGTCATTTCTAAATATTTTCTCATTTCTGTTATGATTTCTTCTTTGTCTTATGAATGGCTTTTTTTTTTAA